TCTATCTATCTATCTATCTATCTATCTATCTATCTATCTATCTATCTGCCTACCTACTTACCTATAATCCATCCACCATCCATGTCTGTCTGTCTGTCTGTCTCTGTCTTTCTGTCATCTGTCTATTAACCTTCCCAAACTCACCCATGAAGCCAAATCATGAACTCTTGATCTTGCAAGATTGTTAGTTTTTTGGAAGATTTATTTATTGCCATTTTATGTGTATGGGTGTGTAGCCTGCATGTGTGTAAGTGCACCACATGTGTGTAGGCCTGATATCTGTGGAAGTCAAAAGAGGGAGTCAGATCTACTGGAATTGGAGTCACAGTTTTAAGCTTCCTTTGGGTGCTAGAAACCAAACCTGGGTCCTTTGCAAGAGCAGTCAGTGCAATAAAAACTAGCTGATACTGTTTTTTAATCATTGAGTATGTGTGGATACATGTGCTTGTGTGTATATGTATGTTTTTGTGTGTGTGTATATGTGCAATGGAGGACAGAAGTTACCTTTGGTGCCCTCTATTATCACCCTGGTTTCTGTCTTAGTTTTGTTTCCTGAACAAGCATAGCTAGGGGAGGAGGGTTTGGCCTAGCTCACCGCTCCAGGTTAGAGTCCGTCATAGCAGAACAGTAACCAAGAATCTGAAGCCGGTAGCCACATTCAGCCAAGGGCAACTTGCTTTCTCCACTCCTGTCCAGTTCAGGGTCCTCTACCTAGACAATGGCACCACCCACAGTGGGCAGATCTTCCTACTTTAATAAGCATAATCAAAATAATTTCCAAAGACATGCCAATCAGATCCAGATAATTTCCTATTTGATTCCCTAGATGGCGTTAAGTTGACCGAACAAATTCTCACAGACTGTCCAACTTATTTTTTCATGGAGCATCTCACTGAGCCTAGAACGCAACAATTCAGCTATAGTTGGTGCAGGTCCCAAGGGTTCTCCTGCCTTTGCTTCTCCAGGGTGAGATGCAGACATAAGGCTTCTACAGATGGTGTTTTTAATATGGCTTCAGGGGGGTTGGTGAACTCAAGTCCTCAGGCTTATAAAGCTTGTCACCTACTGAGACACCTCCCCAGGCTTCTCCCTCCTCTTATTTTTAGCAAAGCTTTGGCAATTTCCTCCTGGGTTCTCTGAGACAATTATTCCAGAAAGAATAAGAAAGAAAGGAAAGAATAAAGGAATGAGAGAGAAAGGGAAGGAATTAAAGAATAAAAACATTTTTCCTGCTACCCAGATAAGACTCTAGACTTCAGATCTGCAGGTTAGATGGATATGTAACATATGTGGAGGTCTTGAAGTAAAGGGGCCATACATATTAAAGGCACTTAAGAATATGTTGAGGACCTGAAGGATGCTATTTGGAGGAGAAATAGAAGTCAGAAGTAGTTCAGTTGTGACACGTGAATAGTGGGTGTCTCCAGCTGCCATCCTCACCTCCTTATCAGCTCTCTCGGACTGTCTTGCTCTGCTGTACTCTCTGCTTTGATGGAACAGTCATGTTAGGTCACACATTTGTTCTACCTTTGTCTCTCGTTGTCTCAGGGGTGTTAGCATCAAAATACCACGATTTTTTTGTTTGTTTGTTTGGAATATCCTTGAAGAATCTCTTCGTCCTACCTGGATATTCTACACAGAATTAGTCGCTTTCCAGAAGAGGAAATGAGGTTTATGTCTAACACTTTGACTCCAGCAATCGGAGCAGAGAGAAATACATAGCATGAACGTTTTGATGCTCCCACTGCTGTTGCTATTGTGCTTTATTGAACATTGAATATGGTGTGTTGCGTGCTAACACGTGTTCCTATGTTTGGGATAGAGGTAGCTTTCTCGTGGTGTATTAAAGAGGTAATGTGACCTTCCCATACTGTGTGCTTGTACATGGACGAACCAGAATGCAAACTATGACCTGCAAGTCAGGCCCTGTGTTGTCTTTGGCTTGAAGCTGTCTCTTTCTGGGGCCGATTATAGCTCCTGGAGAGTGAAAAATTGGCCAAGATATATATTACAAAACTTTTAATTAATATGAAAGTTTGGTGTCTGGGTAATTGTTATTGCTGTAGGTTGTTCTTCCGGTTACTGACGGCAGAAGAGAACACAGAGAACGTCTGGAAGTTTATCACACTGCCCTTTTCCAAAATACAGTCCAAGGCTGTGCATCCTGCTCGCAGACGCTGACTCACTGGTGACTCAGGGGACTGAGGCAGTGTGTCTCCTTTATGTGTGTGCCACCAGCTGTGGCATTTGTCTTGTAGCATCTCTACCCCCAGTGATCTCTCATGAACATTTCAACACCCACAGGACCCAAAGTCTCCTCCTTCAGACTTCCTCCAGCCTAGGGCAGCCCACCAGGCCCTGGCCTCTTCCCAGTGACTCAGAATCCCTTTGCGCAGCTTACGGAAAGTGTCATAATACTGAGACTGCTTGCGTCTGAGACTCTGTTCCGGGGATCATTGGCAGTCTTTCGTTTCTGAACCCGACCAGAGTGTGGCCTCAGCAGGCTGCATAAACACACTCAGGAGTCCTGAGACCCTGAGTCCTACATCTCTATGCATTCTTGTAACAGTTGTCTGCTTCACTTCGTATTGAACATCAACTGCCCCTGCTCTTCTTCACCCTTTTACTGGCCAGCAACCCCAAAGAGTCCATGCTCTACTCCCTTGAGATGGAAGCAAAAAAAAAAAAAAACTGAACCTTTTTCAGCAATGTGGGCAATCGTATGGGCTCTCCTTGCTAGAGTCCAGGTTTTCCAGCCCAGGCTTGGCTGCTGCATAAGTCCCAGGAGGCAGCTGTACCACGTCTTGCTTGCTCAAGTCTAAAACGATTTCCTCGGTTACTCTTACTGCATCTGGTATTGTGGGGATTAATTCAGATTGATCCTTATCGTGGAGTATAGGGAACTACTCCCTGGGGTCTTGAGCACATCGGGTTCTCGGGGGCTTCGTTGCTTCTGCTCCCGCTCCGCCAGCGTTATTGATGTCCCGCGGATCACAGAGTCCCATCGTTGGTACCTCAGTTCTTGCTTTTGTTTCAGTAGTTGTCTCCTTGTCTCTTCCACTCTGTAATAATCTCGAGCAAGTTGCTCTAATTTCCTCCATAGCTGCTGGTTCTCTCTGTTGATGGAAGGGTAGATCTTAGACTCACTCTCTTTGGCTGACGCGTTCGAGGCCTGGGTCTTCTCCTGAGCTGACTTTGGATGTATCTCTTCTACCTCTTGCTCACTTGGGCTTTTCCCTGGTGATGCCCTTTGTCTAGTCACTGACTGCAGTGGCTGCTGGAGGTCAGTCTGGTTCTTCTTGTCCTGGGATTGAAGGTCTGTGGTTTGCTTCATGTGTCCCAAGGCCATGAGCTTCCTTTTTTCACCATATTCCTGGACACAACCCTTTCTCGGCCTCTCTTGATTCTTCTTATGTTGGTTATAGTTTTTGATTAAGCTTTCTAGAAAGGATTTTTCAGCCTGAACCAACACCTTTGACTCCTGAGGCTGCTTGGTGTCCTCCAACTGTTCCTGGGGTACCTGGGTTTCCTTCATATTCTTACACAACTTCCGAGTTGGCCCCACTTCAGCCTTGTGGAACTCCATTACCATCTGCGGCTGGGGATACCTGCCGATGCCAGTTACATACGGGGGCAGTGGAAAGAAACTTCTGCGGTCCTCAGCCATCATGCTCCTTGAATAGGAGCACTCGCTATGGCCCCTCTGAAGTGGATTGGTGCCTGCTGATAAGGGACCAAAGCTTCGAAACGAAAGAGGACGTTTGGCCATTTGGTAATAAACATGAGTTAGGTCAACCCACCTAGTCTGGGGTTCACTCAGCCCTGCCAAACTAGACTGGGAGTGCCATGGTACCTTAGTTCCAGCTGGGGCAACCGGAAGTCTTTTCATTTCCTCCACCATCAAATAAGCACTAACAGCTGGCTGTACAGCAACTCGGTCCCTGGGTCTTTGGAGGCTTGGTTTCTGAGTTGTTGAAGCTCTGCCCTTGGGATCATGGCTTTGTCCTTTCCAGGTCCTGTCCTACAAAGGTCAGGGCCAGCTGTTTGTCTGCCTATTGTTTCTCTTCTCATGTGTCCAGTACTCCTAACTTCGTAGCTGGCTCGCCTTAGACTCTGGTTTTCATCCTTCATCATTGCTGGAGGTCTGGAGCCAAATGAATTCTCTAGAGTCACAATCACACTCTGGAATGTTGGTCAGCCAACAGTCTATTCTCTACTCTCTAGCCTCGCCATCTCTATGATGTGGTAGGCTGGGCCGCATGCTGCGGCCATCTTCCACTTCCTGCGTAACGATTTTGGGAATGGTGTCATCTGGGAAATGCACCTTTGCAGAGGTAATGTGCTTAGTGAGGTACAGACATTGAGCAGAAAACCAGAGGGAAGGGAGCTGAAGTGCCTGAGAAGTGGCCTCAGGCTTTTGTATAGGACCCAAGCCAGAGTTCATTAGATGCATTTTCTGTGCATGCTTAGTGCACGTTGGGTGCAACTGACCACATTTTACTGAATTATTTTTCTGACGGAATTGCAAGGTTCTTGATGGCCCAGGTTTTCATCTAGAGTAGTGGTTCTTGACCTTCCTAATGCTGGGACCCTTTAATGTAATTCCTCATGTTGTGGCGGCCCCAACCATGAAATTGTTTTCATTGCTCCTTCATAACCATAATTTTCTACTTATAATGCAAATACGTGTGTTTCCTGATGGTTTTAGGCATACCCTCTCAAAGGGTCGTGACCCCAAGGTTGAGAACTGCTCATCTGGAGTGTGATATGTTGCAAACCAAAAGATTTTCTCTAGAGTTTGCCAGAGAATTGTACTTTATGCGTGTACCATGTTATAAGCACTGAGGCTACAATAGGAAAAAAAAGTTGTGACTGTCACATAATTGATTCAGTGAAAGAAATAACCCAAGGAAAGAAATGATCACAGAGGTGGGGGAGCCCTGTGACATGGGCCAGCTAATGGCTTTCTCCTCCGTGACAGACACCTGACATTAATGGCCTCGGAAAGAGGAAGGATTTGTTTTGTGTTCATCTGAGAGTCAACGCAGGTGGCGGGAGCAGACTGGCTTGAGTTCCCGCGGCCAGAAATCATAAAGAGAATATTGCCCCTGTGTAACTCTTTCTCACCCATAGCACCCAGGTTTACATAAGCACCCAACTGACTCAAGGAGCCACAGGGACCAGTGGCAGAGCAGACCAAGCTGCTCCACAATTGACCCTCTGCAGCAGTCTGTGCCCTGGGACACAGCTTTGCTCTCTTCCATTTACTTATTTTGTGTTTTTATCCTTTTCGTCTTTATTGGCGTATAATCACGGTACATAGAAATGGGTTTCGTTCAAGCATATAATGTACTTCTGTCACATTGACTCTGCTATTTTGTCACATTTCTTCCCTCCTCCCCTTTCCCTCTGCCTTTTCCCATATAGTCACACGTGTACATTCATGTCTCGTGTGTGTGTGTGTGTGTGCGTGTGTGTGTGTGTGTGTGTGTGTAAGAAGAAAACTGCACTTGTCTTTCCAAGTCTAGTTTATTTTGCTTAATGTTTCTAACTCCACCCATTTCCCTGCAAAGTGGCGTTGTACATTGTGTCATTCCTCTTTACAGATGATTAAAGCCCCTGTGTGTATCACATTTTTAAATCTCTCCATCTTTTCATAGACACTTAGGCGAATCCCATAACTTGACTATTGTAAATATTGCTGCAATAAACACGGATGTACCGATGTCTCTGGTGTCTGATAACTGGAGTGACGTAGCTAAATCCCATGGTTGTTCTATGCTTAACTTTTTTGAGGAATCATCAGACTGATTTCCAAAGTGGCTGAATTAATCTACATTCCCTTCTCACCGTAAGGGTTCCGACCTTGCCCGCATCTTCTCCAGCATTTGTTATTAGGCTTTCTTTTAAAATTACTTTTATTAATTCTTTGAGAATTCTATAGATTGTATTTTGATCATATTTACCCCCTTCCCCAACTCTTCCCAGATCTGTGTCCCTTTTGTACCTACCCAGCTTTGTGTCTTCATTTTTTTTTTTAACTCATCAAGTCCAAACTGTGCCATTTTTTTTCTTTCTGGCTGTTGGTGCAATCATGTCCTGAACTTTTTTAGTGGGGGGGGGGGCTAATCTTTTTTAATATTTCAATCACATTGCTCATTTTAAGTATATTTAAGTTGTTTATATTCTTTTGGTTTAATTTTGTAGACAATGTATGTTCAGAAACATTTGTTGTTTTGTAGACAATATATGTCCAGAAACATATCTATTTTATCTAGGTTTTTAACTTTTTCTATATTAGTTTTCAAAGTATACCATAATGGCCTGAACCTCACGGCATCTCTTGTGTTGTGTCCCTTTTCCTCTCTAAGGTTATTAATTTAGTCTTCCCTCTTTCTTCTGCTTGCATGGCTAAGGCTTTGTTGATCTTGTTCATCTTATCAAAGAAGCAAGTGTTTCTTTGGCTCTTTGCATTAGTCTTCGCTGTTTCTGCAGCATTGGGTTGAACCGACGACCTCTTGCATGCGAGGCGAGGACTGGGCACTGACTTACATCTCTAGCCCTCCTTCACTTACAAACAAAGACAGTGACAGCATCATCAGTGAATTATTGTGAAAGTTAAACTAGCTAGTCCTTCAACTCAGTCCAGCGTCCCAAGTACACAGTGGATCAACTGGATGTTCAATAGGAACGCAGAGTGACAAGTTATTCACATCCTAAAGTAATGAATGGATAAATGTGAAGAATTAGCGCAGCCCAGTGTCATTTAATGTAAGCTGTCACCAGTATCATCTTCCTTGCCTTTATTCCTAGTCCCTTACTTTCCCAGTGTTTCCTGTCTTATTCTTTTCTCAGCCTTGCACTCTGGTTTTATTAGATGCATGACATTGTGTAGGACATATTTATCTAAATATCTATCTTTCATCAGACTGTATGCTGTGTGTCAGAGCTCATATTTTAGTTCTCATGCTTCAAGAACCCAAAGTTGTGCCTAGCACATTAAGTGATAGACAAATCTTAGTCAAAGGAAAGCAGCCACAAGCAGTGGTAACAAAATGAGTTTTGAGGTACCCTGTGGCGGCAAACAGCTCGACGTTTCACTACAGTCGGGTTTGCCCAGTTGACATTGTGTGGTTTTGTTGAAGTGTCTAGTAGTTGCAAGCTCATTTCTTCATTAGTGTTATCATGGGGACTGGAAACACACACAGACACGCAGACATATACAGAGACACACAGACAGACACACACAAACAGAAAGATACACATACACAGTCACACAAACAAACACAGACAGATACACACAGAGACATAGAGGCACATAGACAGACAGACACAAAGACACACATATACAGTTACACACAGACACACACAGACACACACACACACACCGGGCATTTGGCAGAGTCCTCCACTCAGAATCATGCTGAACAAGTCAGTATCAGCATCCTGACTTCCCTCCATTCACATCCACCACTGAAATCCCAGCGCTTCTGAATGAAGGGAAGTATGCAGTTGGCTTCTTTATCCTTTGAAAAGCGTCTCTTTGTGTGTTGTTTCTGTTGGTCCTCATGGCCACCTTGCATACAGACAAAGGCTTTTAGTTTGGTCACACAGCTGAAGAAACAGATTCAAAGCTGAGATCTGGCCCCCAGCTAGTCCATGCTTCTGTATCTTTTTGATTGTCGGTCAATATTTAGTCACCATTTGCTGCAGGCTGTCCTGAGCTTGGTACTGTGTGGGTGATACATCCCTTTCTTCACGGTGTCCATAGCTGGATGGAAGTGACAGGCAGTAGAGACCTGAAACAAGTTGCCATCAGCCCGAGAAATATTCAGCAGTGTTAAATTAGTAGAGAAATAGCCACTGTGTCCAAGGCTGCAAAATTACAGTGCCTACTATTTATGTTGTAAGATGTGGTTCATTCTTCCAGGCATTTTTTCAGACTTTTCTTAAGGGAAAAATTTTGAAACTAAAATATGATTCAGCACAAGTCATAACTTCATAAACAAAACCCCCTAGTTCGGTGTGTTTCAAGGGCAGAGCAGGGTTTCTGGCTTTGGTAAACTTTTTTGGTTGTGCAGAAGTCATCTTAAGGGCTGGAGAGATGGCTCAGAGGTTAAGAGCATTGCCTGCTCTTCCAAAGGTCCTGAGTTCAATTCCCAGCAACCACATGGTGGCTCACAGCCATCTGTAATGGGGTCTGGTGCCCTCTTCTGGCCTTTAGGCATACACACAGACAGAATACTGTATACATAATAAATAAATAAATATTTTTTAAAAAAGAAGTCATCTTAATCAAGGGTGCAGGGAGCATTCAGGGTGGAGGGGGTGACCTCTGTATATCTTTATCCATTTTACTTAAATTTTAAAATATGTTTCTAGTGCAGCTATGTGCTGTGTCTTTGATTCCATTTCCTCCCAGATGCTGGGAAGGCACAGTCACTCCTGATTTGCAGGCCACTCTGTCCCTTCTCACAGTTATCAGTCCCATGATGCAGTCAAGGTCCTTGCCTGGTGATCTGTCAGATCTAGTGTGAGATGCAAACAATGAATGATGGGAAGGATCTGTGTCGTGAAAAAGGAAATACCGGAAGTCAGGAGACCATGCCGTGGGTCTCGAGGGTGTGCATTTAGTAAAGGCTTCTCACAGGCAGCTGACTTTAAGCGGGAAAACCTCCAGGAACAAGCGGTGTTAACCAGGCCACCGAGGTGGGACAGGATGACTAGGTGGGTGTGTGAGTGTGAGCATGGCATGGTGTTAAGACAGATATGGGATGAGAGGAAGGTGATGTTAGTGAGAAGAACACATGTTTGAATACGAGACCGTGAAGGAACTGAAAGAAACCCCGTGTGACTAGAATGGAAGGAGGAAGAATGGCACCAAGAGAAGAGGTTGGGGACCTACTGTGACACGTCACTGCAAGGACTTGGAGCATCCTGGGGATAAGATCATATGACGTGATCCCTATTGGCGAATCAATCCCACACCAGTTATGTTTTAAGGGGTTATTTATTTTGGGGGGTAAAACTTAGATACACCATAAACCGTCAGGAAGGGAGCCTAGTCACTGGAGCAGGAGCCGGGAGCAGGAGCCGGGAGCAGGAGCCAGGACCAATCGCTGGAACCAAG